CACACACACACACACACACACACACACACACACACACACACACACACACACACACACACACACACAGAGAGAGAGAGAGAGAGAGAGAGAGAGAAGGTGGAGGCAGGCGTCGTAATGGATTGGATAACCGTCAGATCTGAGGCTTAAGTAGGCTGGAGTAGGTAAAGGCGGTTGATCACTGATCCGCGAATCCAGCAACCGTGTTCCCCTGTGAGGAAGCGGTTCCCATGTACTAATCGAGCCTCGGTGGCCTTCAATCCGAGAAAGCTCTTTCTTCTTCTTTGTCCTTTGTGTCTGTTTTTCTTTTCCCAACGTAAAGCTCCTGTCCGTGCACACACGTTGATACGAGGAAGCTTTGGCCGTCGATTACAGCCGGAGGCCACCTCACCTAGGTAGGGGCTAGGCCTTCCTTTGCTTTTTTTTTTTTTCCCCCTTCCATTTCTCGATTTATCCGTGTCTTCCATGTTCCTTCCCGGGGCCAAGTCCCACTAGCAGCGTTGAGTTACCTCAACGCCTGAATGTGGACGTTTTTGCGGAGATGTGCAGAAATGGTGTTGAGTTTCCTGAACAGCACGTCCTCACAAACACGTCCAGATTCGGGCGGGCGTTGAGGTAGCTCAACGCTGCTAGTGGGACTTGGCCCCCGTTCTGTTTTTTGTCACTCCCCCCACAACGTACGGTCATTATAGGTGAATTTGGGGTATCCTTCAGTCTAAATACAGCTATAATGAGCGTACGTTGTATTCGGGGGAAGAAGGTACCCGTCCATCTCTCCCCCTACATCTTCCTTCACTTCAGTGGCACAGTACCGGAACTTTCCTAAACGTATCTGACTGGAATTACGGTCATCACGCAAAGAGATGCATCTGACCGCAGTCACATCCAGAGCTCAGTCGAAAAAAGCCCTTGTGCGAGTATGCACTCTCCCGCAACCTCACTACACCCTCGACACCTTTTTTTTTTCTTTTTTCTTTTTCTTTCCCCCCCCCCTTCGATCTGTTCGACGACGGGCATATGCTCAAACTCGGTTGTCATTAGGATCCCCTCAAAAAAATTGCATCCACGAGAGCTCTCTCTCTCCTGTGAGGATCCCCTCATCTCGCGCAAATGAACCCAATGGGATGGACCAGGTGAGGATGTACAGTAAAACGATGGGCTGATCACACAAGCCCTCTTATTATTTTATTTATTGGCTAATAGAGGACATACTTTTTTTTTTTTGTGGAAAGCTTGAAACTTTATTGCATTTTTTTTTATTTTTTATTTTTTTTTAGACTTTGGACCAAGCACATTTTGATATGAACCCCTGGTCCTCCTTCGCGTGCTGCATCAGTGGTTAGAGCTCTGACAGTTGGCTTAGCTATCAAACACACAGCAGCAACAAACCAAATCTGTGCGAAGACCGCGGCGGTGATTAGGGTTGCTCGGCCTAACAGCGATACTCCAACTGCTCTTCTGCATTTCTGAAGGCAGGACCTGACACGGGCTTGAAGGATGGTCTGCTGCTTGGGCCTAGCATCGGTTAGAGAAACTTGAACGCCCAGATACCGCTCCGAGACGTCCGGTGGGACTCTTCTCATTCCCCAGTCTTGTCCGGTGAGCTCATAATCACTTGGGAGGAAGTAAACAGACTTCTCCCAGTTAACAGAAAGGGCTGCATAACTATCCAGCAGACTTTTCACCTCCCGGGTCGTCTCTGGGACCGCTTCGATGACCAGCAGAAGATCGTCTGCGATGGCGCCTGTCTTCATCTGCTCCCCGTTGCCCAGGTCCAGCCCTTGGATCTTTGGTGATGCCCGTAGAGAGTTAGAAGCACCTCCATCTGCAAAGTAAAGAGAAGGGAGGCGAGGGGGCAACCTTGACGGAGGGACCTCGACAGAGTGAAAGAGGGAGATTGAAACCCGTTGACATTGACGGTCGCTGTTGCATCCCTGTATAGCTCCTTTACAGACTGTTGGAATCTTGGACCAAAGCCCATGTGTTCCAAAGTTGCTAGCACGAAGGACCAGTTGACGCGGTCATACGCCTTCTCCAGGTCTAGCATTGCAACAAGGACCTGTCTGTTCTCACGCTGGACTATCTCAAGTGCACCCACTGCCATCATAATGTTTTCTGCAATCGAGCGTCCTTGGACGAAGGCTCCCTGATCAGGGTGGACCAGGTGTGGTAAGTAGGGGCTGAGCCTCCTAGCGAGCAGCTTAGCTAGAATCTTGTATGAGACATTAAGTCTGGAAATGGGCCGCCAATTACGGATGTTACATTTGTCTCCCTTCTTATAGATGAGGGTGATGATGCCTTTCTTCATGTCATCAGTCAGGCTACCCCCATCAAAAATCTTGTTGTAGATGGATAGCAGCTCCGGGCCCAGAAGGTCCCATGTTGACTCATAAAATTCTACAGGTAGGCCGTCAGAGCCTGGACTTTTGCCGTGTGCCATACTCTTGACCGCTGCCCATAACTCATTCAGGGTAAAGGGTTCCTCCAGCTTTTGCCTGCCTTCCAGGGGGAGTTTCACTGCCGTAAACTGCCAGAGATCGTGCTCCTCTTGGAGCTGCTGCAGTGAGAGATCAGGCTCCCGCCTTGATGTGAGAATGTCCCGAAAATAAGTTAGCGCATACATCCCAATAGAATATGAGTCCTTTGCCGGTGCAGCTTCCGCATAAAAGGGGTGATGAAGTTCCCTAATCAACGCATTCTGCCTCGGGGGGCAGATGCGCTGAAAAGTTTCCTTTGTCATACGGTCCGCAATTATTACCCCCTTTTCCTGCGCCCTCTGAGCCCAAATGACATGCTGTTCCACCTGCAAATCTTCCAGTTTTTGTAGCCACCTGTCCCTCCTGTGCTGCCAATAAATTTCTGCTAGTGGTTCCGCCTCGAGTTCCACTTCCGCTTCTGCTATTTCCCTTCTGCACTCTTGTTCGTGTTGTCTTCTACCTCTGGCCTGTATCCTTGAGAAGACATCCAGAGCCCTGGTAGTGATTCTGAGTCCTGTTTGCAGCCACAACTCCTCTGTCTCAAAATCATTCTTGGTTTGCTGCCAATCCCGCCAATGAGCTGCCACCCAGTCCAGGATCCCTTGCTGATTGAGAAGATCTGTATTCAGGCGAAAAGTACCTGGTCCTCTTTCGAGCTGATTGACAAGCTCGAAGACCGCCACCAAGGGGCGGTGGTCCGAGACCGTTTCAATGATACAGCTGATGGAAACCAGAGCATCCCATGCTGCCCCTTTGGTAAGGACCAGGTCCAGCCTCCTTTTAGGGGGGGGGCTGTTGCCTATCTTCTGCGACGAGAACCAGGTGAAACCTGGGTCCGCAGGATGTGTGGTCCGGTATGAGTCCACCAGGCCTTGTTCCGCCATAAGGTTAGAGAGCATGACAACATCTGTTTTCCTGGGGGCAACGTCTGGGGAGTCCAGACCGGGAACGAGCGTGGTATTGAAATCTCCCGCCAAGACTATATTGTCTGCGTTGGGGATTATGGCTGGTAACTCCTCAAAAAAAGATATGCGCTCCCGGGGCTCAGACGGCGCATAGACAGTCATCAACAGCCAGGTTTCTTTGCCCATGCGTAGCTGCATCCAGGCCCAGTGTCCCCATATGTACGCATCCTGATCCAAGATCTCCGCTTCAAACTGTCTATGCAGCAGGATGGCACAGCCTCCTCGAGTACCTTCGGCGGGCGCCCACAATTGGCGTCCTCTCCACCACCCAGCATGTTGTTGCAGCTTGCCTTGGTCAAATTTAGTCTCCTGCAAGAGGATGGCCTGTAGTTTTTGCTCATGGAACCAGGTCTTCAGCCGTGGCCTCTTCTGCCTGCCTGGGGAGTCACTGAGACCCCGGACATTCCAGGATGCGATCCTAAGACTGGGCATTAATGGCAGTAGAAGCGGGCTGGTCTTGGATCCGCTGTGTGTCCTCCGTAGGTTGCCTCAAAGCTCTGGGCCGTCTGTTTGCCTCTGCATCTGTTGGTGCTGCCCACGGGGTCATTAGCAGGTTTCGAAATCCAACAGAGTGGGGTTGCTTGTCCGTGGCGAGAGAGATGCAGAATTCAGCCACTAATTTGGCGTTGATGTCTTCAGTGAGGAACGTTTCCTGAAGCTCTTTCGTGCTTGTTGAGGCTAACCAGGTAGTGGGTAGCCACACAATCCCCTGAGTAGCTAGGAGCGCGGCTGTATCCAGCACTATTTTAGCATCAATAACCCCAATCGAAAAATACCAACTACCTCCTGTTGTTGCAGCAACAGTCTTCCTACCGATCCGAATCCCGGGCACCAGACTGAAAGGAAACCGGTCTGCAATAAATGTGGCAGCGACGGCCTTGATTGCCTCCTTGGTGGTAGGGGATGAGCTCACCGCTATGGTAGGAATGGCCAGGAGCCCCTTCTCCGTTCTCCTGGCCATGAATTTAACTCCCTGTGGGGTGAGCATGCAGCACGGCAAGACTAGCTGATGTCTGATCGTAGTTCCTTGGCCCCTGCTGCTAGACGGTTGCATTGTGATACTTGATCCGACTGCCGCTGGTGTAACTGCAAGTGGGCCTGAAGGCACCGTACCTGGACTCCGGGCTTGTGAGACAGGAATGGAGAAAAAGTCGACTTCCGCTTCCTCCTCCTCCTGCGTAATAAGGCCTTCTTCGTCCTCATTGATTCGGCGCTGCTTGAAAGGGGTCCGCAGAACGGGTCTAGCATCCCTCATAGCAGTGTCTGCTTAGATTCTTGCTGCCGCCATGCTCTCTTCGGCGGCCCTGCTGACTTGCTCGGTCAATGGTCTGGCTGCTGGTCTGTACTCTGCACTCGTGGTGTGGCCAAGGCCGACGGCTGGTCCCAAGGATAGGGTGGGTTGGGGATCGAAAGTCGGGTTGGGGTAGGACCTGTACCCGCTAGTTCCAGGGGGAAGAGTAGAAGAGTCGGTTCTGGGTCTATGACTGGGCAGGTCCGTAGGTACTGGTGGTCTGAGAGAAGGAGGGGGGGGAGTAGCAAAGGTATAAGACTGGGGATTGTGGATGGGGGTCCCTAGTTGCAGTGGGGGGGGGGTAGCAGGGCGGGCTAAGGAGATTAATGGGGAGGATTGGAAGAAGTTCGATGCCGGGTGTTGGCTATGAGGGGGCAAGGGGGGTGGGGGTAAGGGGGTGTGTGAGCTGGCACCTACCCCAGAGACGGGTGCTAAGGTGACAAGGTGCTGCTGTGCCTGGTAGCAGTGCTGCATGAGGAGGGACGGAAGGTGCGGGACGCGGCTGGTAGGCGGCTTGGGCAGTGGGGGGTCTGATGGATTGCATCCCCTGTGGTCGGATTGGGACATGGGCATGGGGCATGATGGGTGGTCGGACCGGCGCAAGGGTGTGAGGTGCAGCAGGAAGGGGTCTCGAGGTTGGAGCAGGGGGGGGATGTGAGGAGGAAGCCGGGTGAAGCTGCGTCTGTCTGGGAGAGGGGGAAGGGTGACGGACTCCTTGATTACGACCCCTTCCTCTACCTCTTGACCGCCTACCCGCGGGCACGGGCTCGTTAAATCTCGGACATTTGGGATCGAATTCATGATGATACCACCAAAGACACTTCTGACAGAAGGAAGTGTCGTGGTTGGCAAGCTGTATGTGCATGGCTTGACCCATGGGACGGCGGAGAACAATCCATTCGAGAAAGTTGTCTCTAGCCGATGGGTGACAGTCTATCTTCACATTCCCCAACCGAGGTTCGTTCTTGTCCGGAGGGTGCATGTGCTGGATCGGCCCTATCAGTTTACTAACTGCATCCCTCAATGAGAACATGGCTCCGAGTGGAACCCTTAGGGCTATAATACGGTATCTAGCCCTTGCTTCTGCGTCTCTCAGGTCGTTGAGCTCCTGCTGGGTCATCCACGGTCTGAATGAGACTCTGACTGGTCCCTGCCTGGTTGGGATTGTGTCCCGTCCCTTGGATATCATCCACTGGGCGATTTGGGCTGTACGGGCGACATAAGATAGGATGTTCGGCCCTTCGCCATGTGTTCGGCTGCTTTTCAGTGAGGGGTTAGGATGTTCGGCCCTTCGCCATGTGTTCGGCTGCTTTTCAGTGAGGGGTTAAAATTAGGGTCCTCGAACCATGCATCCTCGTAAATCCTTATGAACTGTTCCCTCTGGGCGACAGAGAAACTCTCGGCTCTGGACTCGAAGATGGCGATAACAGTCCTTTCTTTGAGCCAAGCTACGGTTGCGGCGTCGACCTCCTCATTGATGTTGAGGTAGCCGATTCCGTCCACGATTTCCACATCTCCATGGGAGAACGTGGTTTCTGGGAACAAACCATCATCGTAGCAACTATCGAGTAAAGCCCTGATTCGAGGGAGGTCGCCCACTGAGGTTTGCGCCGGCGGGCCTGATCCCTGGTCCATGTTCGAGTCAGCCGGGATTACGGTCTGTGTCAACGGATTGGCAGAGAGAAGTTATAATGGTTGGTAGAGTGATGTCAGAAGATCCAGTACAAGGAGGTATCGGTGAAAAGCATGACAGAGGCGAAGACTACGAAGGAGGAGTATGTGACGAGGAATAAGCCGATAACGACTGTGTGTGTGAGTCGTGTCCTAGTGAAGAGAAAATAAGGAGGGGGGAGGCTAGATTAGCGAAAGACCTTGTGCTATCCAATTAACAATTGATTTACGTGAATTGGTGAGACACAAGGGTTCCAGAGGTTGGCATCAGAGAAAGGGTATGGTAGCGAGTGTAAGGAGTTGGATGGAGTAGGGAGATGGGGTAGACTTTAGAGGAGGATTCAGACCGGGGTTACCTGCCGTCGACCTTCCCACGTTGTCGTTGTGTCGTTGGAGACGATAGCGCTGACTTCGGCAACTTCCTGCCCTAATAGTTCGACCACCAGGGTGAGCAAAAGTCTGGTCATGCTTATTACGCATCACGGACAGGGTGAGTACGCCTGTCCAGGTACACTTTGTTCTCACTCAATGGTTGAATAGCTGATCTGGCTCGTCAGACGCCTCCATATCCCCCCTACCTAGAATAGGCGAGTTTGCCTAGCAATAGTGATGGGCAGGACGGTGGGCGATGGCCACTTCCTTCGGCCGCGTGCCGAGCTGCTGGCAGACGAGACCGGCTCCCCTGAACTGGTGCGCTACGACAAAACGCTCCGCGTCGGCCGCAAGCGCCCTCCCCACTCGTTTTCTTTCATTCTTCTATTGCAAAAATATTTGGACGAGGCCGGGGACCTCACAATTCACCCCCGGAGTTGTCCTGGCAGCCTCAACCAGTTTCGCTTACGAGCCAAGCTCGACTACCAAACTAGCTGCTCCAAATAACTCATCCGAAATGCTCTCCAAAAAAAATAGAATTCAACCAAAACATTGACCTGCAAAACTATAAGATCTCCAAGGAAGCTACAGATTGGAAGAAGTTACTACGGAAAGAAACCGGGATGGATGAGCGGGCGCTAGGCGCGGGTGCAAGCGCCTAGCGCTATCGGTTCGGCAAGCGCTAGGCGCGGGTGCAAGCGCGCTCCGGCCTAGCGCTATCGGTTCGGCAGAACCGATACTATCGACTCACACGGTCTGCACGTTGCGGATGCGATGAGAACTTGACCAACCTTCGCTGCGACGGCTATGCCGGCAGCCAACCCCCAACTTTGGGTGGGAGGGGAGGCGAGGACGGTGGCCAGAGACACATGTTTTCACCATTTAGAGAGTAACAAAGAGTCGTGACGTGGCACTCAAGAAGCGCGCGAGTCAAGGGTACGTTCAGAAGAGGACGAAGGAAGAAAACTTTTCTCCCGCTGGGTCACCATGGCGGAGGCACAGGCTTTACCGCAAAGACCACGCATGTCAGACGAAGGGACCGCGAGGATCAGGAGTTTAATGGAGAAATGCTACGATGATGGAATTTTTCCAGACAATATCGGGAGAGAGATAGAGAGGGCAGAACTCCACGATGACTATGTCCTCTTCATCCTGGATGACGATATCGACGATTTAATTATTAACTGGTTGAAGGAGAGGACGATTATCATCATCTTCCAAGCGAAGGATCAGACCCTTAGTCTATCACTAGGGGAGCAACTGATCCGTATTTACGAAGATGGATGGTATCGGGATCCGGCAAGAAATCCGTCGGTGAAGAGAGGAAGAACGCATGAGGAAGGTCCTAATGTTATGTCATACGTAGCAAGGTCTCCGGAGATTGCCCGGTGGATGACGAACCTTGGCACTGCGGAGATCCCATGGATGACGCGCGCTGAGCTGGATGATATGACAAACCAGGAGCAGGCTTTACGTTTCAGATTGATCGCCTAACGGGTCCCGCTGGTGGTGATGTTCCTGCTGTAGAGAGTTGTGGAGCGCAACTTTGGAAAGGTGTTCATGATGCACCCGCCAGACAAGAAGGAGGATGAGCCTTCGCTGGGGAATGTAAAAATAGATTGTGAGCCGGGAGTAAGGGACTCATACAGAGATTGGATCTATGTTCGTAGCAAGGACGACGCAGATCTGGAGATCAGGATAGCCACGCAGGAGTCTCCCTTCTGCAACAAATGCTTGTGGTGGTTTCATACTGAAGACGATCCAAGATGCCCTCGCTATAACGAGGAAATGCCTGCTGGACGGAGGAGAGGGCGAGGGGGTAGGGGAGGGCGAGGAGGCCGAGGTGGAAGAGGAAGGGGGGGAGGAAGGGGTCAGGACCCTTCCCAGGGCCCGCCCCCCCCCCACCCCCACACACACCATCATCACCATCACCACCACCGCCCGCATCCCAACCGCCGTCCTCTTCAGGGGGTCAGCCCCTGATCCAAGCTCAGGGTAATCACTCGGCTTCGTTTGGGGGAGGAGTCTCCCGTGAGGGATGGGGACAAGGGACCCAACATCGCCAAGCAAGAAACCATCAATCCTAGCAACGGCTATTGCCTGAACACTCTCCTCATCATAACACGCGACAACAGGATCAAGCGCCACAGGAGCAACGGCAACAACATCTACCACTACACCAGCAGCCTCCCATGCAATCGACGTTGTCCAGACCCTCCTTTGCATCATCATCAATGCAGCAAGGTTTGGGAGGAGGACAAGCTCAGAATTATGCTTCTGGATATGGTACCTCCGCTCACTTTTCAGCCCCCAGCAGCCTCGTAAATGGAGGTACATGGGGAAACCAGGCCTCCCCCTGCATGTCCGCGGGGATACCAGGAGCCTCGTCATCAACCCAGGTTTCAATTCTGCTCCATTAGGTTATGATCCCGACTATAGATCAACCGGCAATAGGTCCTCATGACAGTCGCATCGGATCTACATCTGAACAGTTCGTTTGTTCCCCAAGCACAGTCTTCAGGGGTCCTGGCAAGTTCCATCTCCCGTCGAGGCCAGCAGCAACCGATGATTATGCAGATAAACAAGGAGTCATCTGGTGGATTGCTAGTGGGATCACCCCCCATGCAGGGCGCAGGTGACAACAAGGTGGAGATCCGGTGTCGGGACAAAAACCCCTGTGAGGGTTTCTGCACGAGTTTTTCAAGGTTAGACACTACCCGACCTTTTTTTGGATTGGGAGACTTGATGAGGTTGACGTTGCCAAAGTTATTCGGACCAACCCTATAATTGAGAGACCTAAAGCTTGACGTCGTTGACGTGAGACGTCATTGACGTTCGATCGAAACAGCGGGAGTCATCGGTATGACTCGTCGTCCGTGGTTCCCGACGAGGCCGTGGTAGTATGCAGTCATGGAAAGACTAAAGCTAGACCTAGTCTACCTAAAATAATGTCGCGCGGCTGCTAACCCGCGCGATTCAGGGTCTAAGTAGGCTAAAAAGGGGTCGCTGCGACGAGGTTGGGACCGCAGCGTGAAGGAATAGGAATTTTTTTAGGGTCCGCGGGGCTTTTTGCGCTAAGGGTCGGGGTGATGACATTAGGGCCAGTTGAGTGGGGCGGCTGCTAAGGTCATCAGCCGCCAACCCAGCCAGCCAGCCGTGGTAGCAAGCGGGCTTAGCAGGCCCTGTTAGCAGGCAGGGCCTGCTAAGCGCTGGGTGGGGGCCCTGCTGGGCTGATGCTCTTCAAATAGAAGGGCAGCTCCTCTCCTTATGTGAGAAGGAGCTAGCCCAGTAGGTACTGCCGCCAGACTTTTGCCCAGCAGATACTGGGATCGAGCCCGGCCGCAGGCACCTACCAGGCTAGCCATTGCCATTGCTGACAGCGCGACCAGATTTGGTCGTCCGATCGTGGAAATCGCGCGACCCAGATCTGGCGCGCGTGAATCAGCATGGCCCCTGCAGAAGGATGACACGCATAAATCGAGAAATGGTAAAAAAAAATAATAATTTTTTTTTTTTTGATCCCATATGGGATCGAACTCGGGTTTGTATTACAGCAGTTCGTGGGGGTCTCACGAGCTGAACGTGACCGTTGGGTAGGCCAACGAAATTTTAAGAAGAAAAGAAAAGAAGAGAAAGAGGGAGGAGAAATGTCACGGCCGCGAACATGGTCGTGGTCGTAGGCCAGGTTCGGGCCTTGGAAGCCTCTGGATGCAGAGGTGACAACAGTCTGTTCAGTTCAACAGAATGTTGCAGATGGTTGGGTTAAACCATTTGCAATTGCACCTGGCCGGGGGTGGCGGCCGGGTGCATTGCCAAAGCCTGGGACTTGATGTTCCTAGTAGAACATCAAGATTTCCAGCCCTCGATCGAAGTTCAGATCAAGGGCTAGGCTCAGCCCCGTTGTTTTTGGATGAGCCTCAAGTGGCTGTCCACCACTCCAGCCAAGCTATAAAAGCAGGGCTGGCCAACATCATCCTCACTCAGTTGAGGTGCTGCCCACATTCTGATTGAGTGTGGAGTGGAGAGCAGTGTTATGCTGCCAAGGTGCTGAGGGGTAGTGAGCGAGAGGAGGAGTGAAGTGGGAGTCTGCAAGTGAGGGAGGAGGATTGTTGGAGGTGGCCATAGTTGTGAAACACAGCCATAGCCGCCACCTCAGCGAGGTGAGGCTGCCATAGCCACCGTGTTGCGGGGTGCCAGCACAGGTGCTGCTGTTCGTGGCAGGTTTTTCGGCAAGCGGTGCAGGGGAAACTCTGCCCGTTTTGCACGACGATGGCAGGTTTTTCAGGAAGCGGTGCAGGGGAAACTCTGCCCGTTTTGCACGGCG